AAAAAATAGAAACCAACAAAAACAAATACCGAGGTCCATAAAATGCATATGTCCAATGAACTTGCCGAGATTTACATTTTTATTTTAAAAACACAGAGATCACACACAGAAAATTGCCATGATGGAAAAACATAGTAAAAATCCTCTCACAAGTCAAATTTCCATGTTTTAAATAATAAATTTTTCATGCTTTTAATACTCAAAACGTGTGAGAAAGTAGTTGTTTTTCCAGAAGTGCCATGAAAGTTGGTAATAAAAAACACAAAGCTTTTGGTGGAATCATTACAAAAAGACCTAAATTATGTTTGGAAGACAAAATCTTATGAATTTGCCATGGGGTCGTGAGAATTTTTTTCTAAAATTTGCCATGTGTACAAAATACCTTGGCGTGTGAACAATACAAATAGAAACTTTAAATTTGCCATGTGATAAGCTGAGAAACTCATAAAATTTATTGTGTACAATTTTTGGAAAAAAAATCCCACTCCTAGATTCACAATTCATAAAATTTATAGTGTAGAATCCATAAAAACTTTAAAATTCCATATTTTTGTTGCATAATAAAAAGAAAAGAAAAAAACTGAAAGGAGTGGGATTCGATCCCCAAGTCTCCTAGGTGGAAGCTTGGTATATTAGCGAGTCCAGTTGGCGAAATCGTTGGGATAGGTGGTGTTTGGTTTGCTTTTGTGTCCAGCAAACGACTTTTATGGCTAGGACATCCACCCTGGTGGAATGGTTCCACCACAGAAAACCTAACTATCTGTGTGAATGGGCTCCCGAAAAAGAAGAAATTTCTTGCTTTTCAAAAGCCCATGCGCAAATAACCTCAAAATTAAGCGTGCTTCCCTTGGAGCAACTTGAGGATGAGTTACCGATTGGGAAGTTGATCATGGGTGTGTACAAGTGATGTCATAGTGTGCAGAAAAAACTAGTGTTGATCAATGGGGCCATTCTAGATCCTGCCAGGCATAATGGCAGGAACCAGTGGCTTTGGTCGAGGCGTTACAATTGGTATCAGAACCGAGTGGTTACATGGGCGGGAGTATGTAGCTTGGTGCGTGTGGCCCGTCATGGCACAGGGCATGGCACACGTGCTGGACTGGAAGGACCGACGTGTGCGAAAAGGTAATGTTTCGGTGGGCCGACTATGACGTTGGTTCCTCTAAGTGGGGGTGTATGTGAGATTATGTCTTAATATGAATGATAGAGTACTGATATCTACAAGAAAAAACGTATTTTCTGGAAGCAATGTGAGGATGGATGGCCAATCAAAAGTTGATCCCGGTTTGAACGAATGAGGGCAAAGTGCATAGAAAGACTAATGTTGGTCTATGGGTCCAGTCTAGATCATGTCAGGCATAACGACCAGGAACCAATGGTTGTGGCCGGGGTGTTATAATTACAATGTTGTTTTATGGAAGAGAACATATGAGAGTATATATGATATTTGACTGGTCTTATTTTTAAGCTACAGCCTCTCAAAGTTTTTAACTTCTCCCTATGTAAAGAATTATAAGACCATTTAGATCACTAAATTAGTGGTCTAAATAGTCTATATTTCTTTAGAGAGAGAGAGAGAGAGTATGTCTGAATATATAAGACATTAACGAAACCTGATATGAAGCAAAACATATTAAAGGTTTACAAAGTTTCAAACTACGGTTTTAATTATTTCCAACATAAGACATTAGCCAAAGTTCTTAGCTATTGTTTTAGTTTGGGGTGTCAATTTTTTTTTCTAGGTGTCAACAAAATATCTAGAAGGTTTAAAAAGTTATTTCCAAAGTATTTCATCTAAATTTAATGAAATGTGCATGAATATTGACCACATCTAAATTCAATCTAAAAGTTGGGCAAAAAAAAGGTAAACTTGTTCATATAATGACCAATATTTCTAACAAACTTATAGTTGGATGGTTAGGACGGTAGTTGTAACCCTATAGACAGGGGTGAAAACCCCAAATTTGACATATGTGTGTTTCATAGAGACATAATTACTTTTAGTGGAAGGCATTTCGGTTGACAAGGCGCCTAAGGTGACTGCGTCAATCTCAAGCCCCGCCTGTTCAGTCTCTCGGAGATGCTCTCAGGCATAGGGTGTGCAGCGTTCATAAGGTGAGTGTATGTGCGTTTATGTCAACGTACATGTCTGTATTGTGTTTCTAAAAAAAGTTTCAATTGACATTAGAACATTACACATCATACTCTTTGAATAATGACAAACTTCATTAAGGACGTACGACATAATGGATGTGTATCTTCCACATAGGCAGAGCCGATTTTTTCCGTAAACCTATAAATACGCGCCATATTTTTGAATGAGAAGTAGTATAGTACCATATTTCCTTGAAAATGGTGAGCATTGAAACGGTTTATCACACTTGAAGGCATACCCAGATTTGTCAACATATAATCAATAACTATTTCAAGGATAAACTTTGGTTTTACTACTAGTTTGAATATTTCCTTTTTTGTTTCGGCGTGTTTTGTAGCAATCAATACTTACTTTTCCGAGCACCTAATATTTGCATCATGTATAGGAGTGGAAATGGATCAGGCAACATATCAGGATAGTGTCCTCGCCATTTCTGTTTTCATATTTTCAAACGCCAATACAAATGTAGACATATATGTTACCAAATACGAATGTGGAATGGTTACTCGTATACAAACACATATAAGATATTTAATTAGTTTTGAACGGACACAAATATCATACAATTTAACGAGATACGATAATATGCAAAACAAATAAGTCGGTACTATGTGACATAAAATAACTGACTCGTGATATACATCAAATAATTGACTCATGGTGTACAACAAGTCGATGCTATATTGATGGGAGGCTGACAAATACTACTATATTAAGGTTATTTTAAAAGTTATATAATCATACAATAAGCAAAAATTGACCACCTTTAGGCTTATATGTTTATAATTCCCACATGGGACTTGTATTTCTTACATTAGGAAACATGTTTTTTATGTATAGATATCCTGTAGCATATCCACATTTGTGTTCAAAACCCCATACATCCACGTTTGCATTGATAAAATAAATATAGATATTTTCCACACCCATTCTCATTTAGTTCAGATGTGAATGTTGACTTGCCATATATGCGATTTCTCAAACATAAATATCGAAGATTTTAGATTATCCATTGTCACTTCCAACCCTAATGTTATCTAGCAAGCAACTAATGATGCTTCGACACATAATGATAGTTTCGTCCATCTTATGTTACTTTTCTGCACCAGGGGCAGGGGCGGAGGTACGTACAGCTACCCGGTGTCACTGACACCGGGTGCAATTTACACTTACTTATTGATTTAGTATGTAGGTCATTGAATTATTTGATATGTAGGCATGTGTTCTCTATGTGGACACCGGGTAATTTTAAGTCTGGATCTGCCCCTGACCAGGGGCAGCATGTTTACAACCTATTGATTTTTGTTCTCACTTTTAGAAGTACTAGATTCATCTATTGGTCGCGAAAATTCGAATCCCGGAAGCTATCTTCTGAATCGAGACAAAGAAAAGGACAAAGTATTACGTTGCGAACAACACTTTACATAACAATGACTTGACTTCCAAACTATCCAAAGTTGAACTTGCATCTCTCTCTTTTAAAACTCTGCAAATTAATAGATAAGCATAGCGTCGATGTCTTGGGAATTCTCCTAAAATTGTTGATCTGACATTTTGGACATCTGTCCGGAACACGTTTCAACCACAAAAGTTGGCATAATAGCAATTGTGGACTCTTGTCCGTTTTAAGCGCATGCAAAGTACTCCCTCTGTAAACAAATATAAGAGTGTTTGGAACACTATTTTAGTGATTTAAACGCTCTTATATTTCTTTACGGAGGGAGTATAGATTAGATAATTAGGTTTCTTGCGGTGAAATTTGCGTATCCACGTTTGAGTACACATTTGACACGGTGGTTGTATATTTTCTGGAGCTAGGCCATACTCTTCGACGCTACCCTTTTAATGGTATGATGTGGCTGCTGACTATGAGGGCCCTTTGACGAATTCATCACCTTGAGATTTGCCAGCTCATATAGATAAAGCGTACTCCGTCTCTTAAAAAAACCGTTCATTGAAAGCGGTGTGAGTATGACCTAGAAATTACCGTAAGTGGCAAAAAAATAAATAAAATGAACTGGTTTATCTACTGCGAAAATCAAATCCCGAAATCCGTCGTGCGCATCGAGACAAAGAAATGGACAAATTATTACGTTGCGGACCGGAATTTATTATGTACAGCAAAATGACTTGACTTCAAAAGGGTTCGAAGTTGAACCCGCATATCTTCCATTTAAAAACCCCGTCAAATAAAAGATAAGCACAGCGTCTACGTCGCCAGTATTCCCTTCAAACAGTTTATTATTATCCCCCCGCAAAAAAAAACAGTTTATTATTATCCGACATTTTGGACACCCTGCGGTTGGGTAGACCGAACACGTTTCAACCACAAAACGTGGCACAGAAAGCACATTCCATACTCCCGTTTTCCCGGTGCGTGCGTCCGGTGGCATGCGACGTGTCACCCAGCAGCAGCAGCAGCAGCAGCGACGTCACGGACGGGTCGGGTGGATAGACGGATAGGGATACGAGCCCAGCGCCAGCGGCCGTTTCGTTTGACGACCGCGACCGACGCACGCCGCGCCTGCGTCGTCTATCCATCCATCCCGTACGAAACCCAAACCCCGTGCTCGTCTTCCACCTTGGCT